TTTAATTATTAAGATTAGTACAGCTCATTTTGGCGAATTGTACAGCGCCTAGAGCAGGCATGGATAGGCGCTATATAAATATTTATTTATTTATTATTTATTAAAAACAGACTATACAGCCAACGTTTTATCTGATTTATGATTAGATGCATTTTGGACAAGTTGGTTGATCAATCAAGATCCTGATTACTCAAGCGTCTGCTGTTAATAAACATAACCCAAACGTTCTTCATGTCGGAAAAATTCCTAGAGAAGAATATTTGATAATCTTGGCAAAATAAAATTAAGCATTTTTTTACTCAGTGGGAAGTCAAACAACTCACAACGTGCCAACGGGATTGAAGTTTAGTTTGGAATAATTCAAAGCTCTAATATTTAATCAGAAAGTAGTTGATCTCTATCTCTTTTAAGAGCAATCAAAATACAACGATACGCCAGTCGTCATGTTTACATTGCTTCATGCAAATCGACTTGGGGAAAGATTGAATCATGCGTTTGTCAAAGAAAGTTTACAATAATCAAGGCAGATGTCGAGTGTTGTATTTTTCACTCGTACAGAAAATTTAACTACAGCACAAGTCCTCGATGGCCGGAAAATTCTGCTGCAAATAGACATATTCTTTAGAGTTGTTATAAAATTCTTGAAAGAATTAAGTCCTAGTCGGAGAAATTCCTGGAACGAATTCTTGATATTTCTGGGAAAAAAAAAAATAAGCATTACTCAACGGGAAGTCCAACATCTCACTGATTAAAGTTTGGTATAATTCAAAGGTTTGATATGTAATCACAAGGCAGCTGTTCTATATTTCTTTCATTAACTGACACCTCAGGAGCCATGTTTACATTGCCTCATGCAAATCGACTCAGAGATGTATTGAATCATGCGTTGTAGCACGAAAATTTACAATAATCAAGGCAGATGTTGAAGGCTGCCTTCTTCACCAGTACGTAAAACTGAAGGACAGCACAAGTCCTCGATGACCACCTCAGATTCCAATTTCTTTGGCCGTTTCAGGTATTTTAAATATAGTTTTGTTTTTGCATTTTGAAACACCCTTGATATCAGCGATTGAACGAGTGACACAAAGGATTTATAGAGAACTTAAGCAATAAAGACGGCGACCACGAGGGCCAAGCCTAGAAACAATGAATTTATAGTTAACCTTTAAATTTCGCAATTGTCTAGATCTTTTTCAGTGATCTAATTCAGTGCACCTATTGGTCTCAGAACTTACTCAAACTAAATGTGAAACGTGAGAGTTCTCCAAAATACACAGAACTTAGTGTTAAAATATTTTACCAACAGTAAATACATTTTCTTGATCTAGAAAAGAAATCTAGATCGTGCGTGGGTGATTATAATATATAGATTTAGGCCAGCCTGAAAGCGCAGCTCCTGGGCCGGTTTGTTCAGAGCCCGATTAAGCAAGCCCAGGAAAAGGTAGAAGTTTGATCTGAGTTTTGTAACTTTGCGGTGAGGTTTTCTGTATATTGTTTGGCCTTTTGTTTTAGGTTTTTATAATCACCATGTACACAAAACTAAGCAACAAAAAACATATGTATAAGAGAAAAAGATAATTCGACTTGTTTTAAATCCTATGTTAGCGTTAACCGACTTCCGAACAATCCTGTCCAGTTTTCAATAAGTTAACTTGAGCCCGTGATCCAATCGAAAACCAGCACTTGGTTAGCGGTCAACCTTAAAACAACACATAACCTCGATGTGCCGTAAACTTGAGTCCGCGATATGGTCACGTGATTCTGGTCACCGGGTACCTCGTTTTGACAGGTGTCAATTAATCATAACATGGATGTCCAATAACAAAGAAGTACACGGTAAACCAAGGCTGCATGTTTCTGTCAACCATTATTTGGAGTATGGCCGCCATATTGCGCGACTCCGTCCGTCGCCGTCGTCGTTCGTACGCGCCCACGAGCAATGCCGCTAGCCATGATAACCATGAGAAGATCCGTTCATGGGTTGCCTTTTCTCTCCTATATGAGTATGGGGCTCCGCTTGGCGGCCCTTCGGGCCTCCGGAGCTCCACTATAACCTTAACCAAAAGAGTGACAATATCTTTTGTCTTTAGTAAACCTTTCAATCGGGCTAAAGCTTTATTTTTTGTTCTTGTTTTGCATAAGCAGGAAAAAGCTCTAAAAAGATTGAACTAGGTAAACGTTCACGCAATTTGGAGGCGTTTTTCATGGAAGAGGTCTAGGACAGCTGGGACAAGACTTGCATTTTCGATTGACTCCTGTCACTGCTTTTGACAGAATCAGCATGATCTAGAAAGAAATGGGGAACTCAACTAAAGATCAAACCCTCGTGACGATAGGAGACTTATTTTGCAAGGCGGATATTGTTGACACACATCAAAAGATTCTTGTCTCTGCGTTAAATGTTCTTCTTTCCGTCATTGCATTTCTTGGAAATATGCTGATTATTGTTGCTCTTCAGAAGCCCTCGTCTCTCTACCCGCCATCGAAACTATTGTTAGGTTGTCTGGCGAGCACTGATCTTTGCGTGGGCCTGGTTACGCAGCCTCTTCACGTAATCTATTTGATGCCTTCGGAACAATTCAAACGCTGTCACCTTGTAGGAATCCTTTCAATTACTATAGGTGCATTTTTAGGTGGCCTGTCTTTGTTCACACTGACTGCAATAAGCGTTGACAGACTTCTCGCTCTGTTGCTGGGACTACGATACAGACAAGTGGTAACTTTGAAGAGAGTATGGATCCTTGTGGTTAGTTTTTCGCTTTCAAACGCTGCCATTTCAATGACATTCTTCTACGGTCTACGCATCACTGCAGCATTCACCGGCATAGCAGTGGCAATGTGTATGCTAACCTCAGTCTTCTGTTACGCGAAAATCTATAGTTCACTTCGTCAACATCAAGTTTCAGTGCAAGATCATATTCAACAAGGACAACCGAACCAAGGAAAGGCTGTGCTTAATTTAGCACGATACAGAAAGACTGTGTCCAGTGTATTGTGGGTGCAGCTGACATTGGTGGCGTGTTATCTGCCTCATATCATAGTGGTTACTATGTTTGCTATATCGGGATCAGCTTCACCATCTCTTGCCCTCACTTGGGCTGTGACGCTATCCCTGGTTTACTTCAATTCATCATTAAACCCATTTCTGTACTGTTGGAAAATGAGGGAAGTGAGGAAAGCGGTCAAGAACACCATCAGTCAGTTTTGGCGTTGCTCAAGTTAATTGGCTCATAGAAAAACAAAATTAGAAGGAAAAACTGGACTGCAAAGCCGTCGACAAAAATAATATTCAAATTAAGCTATTAGCCCGAAATTGAACACCACGAGTCTTTGAGATTTTGGACGTTTTCTGGCTTCTAAATGCATTTCTTGGCTTAAACTGGTATAATAATATACTGTAAAGGTCACTATAAAAGTTAACGTTAAAAAAAAAATTAAAAAAACGACGTTTCGANCAGGCTAACGTTTTGTGCACAACAAGCCGTTATTTATTATTTGTCCGCAACCATGCTCCTTGCCAGCTCTGAAGGTTTTTCAACTTTGTGCATTTTCGCTCGACTTTCATTTAGGCAAGTTTTCTTAGACCATAAAGTAAATTTTTAGTGATAATTTCGCATCAAAACAAACTGTCAAAACTTTATATGGCCTCGTGCAAAATTTTAGTTTCAGCTCATTTCAACGGCCGCCGTTGTCATTTCATTCATTGGTTCATGACGAATTAGAGCCAATCATTATTTTAAGAAAGATTTGACAGTTGCCTAAATTTTGAAACATTATGAACAAACACGAAGAATTCGAAAGGTATTTTTTGAGAAGAAACTCAGAAAATTACGAACTTTAGCAACAATGTATGCTTTAAATGAAAACTATATTCTTCTTAATGTTCTCGGTTTTCGATAGAATAAACCAGTAAAAAAGGTTACGGTTGTGAGAGTAATTTGTCACGCACGATATTAAAAGGAAATCAAATGGTTTTCTCGTGAAAATAGGAAATAATTTCACGCGCGTTTTGTCAAAATTCTGATAATTTCCCTCGCCTAAAGGGTCTGGAAATTATTAGAATTTTGACAAAACGCGCGTGAAATTATGTCCTTATTTCACTCGTCACCATTTGATTACACATACAAATCTCATCTAAGATCTCTACTGTGTAGTAAGTCGTTCGTTTCTTCAAAGATTAACAAACATCAACATTGTGTAGCCGCTTGAGACTGAACCCAGAGACAAAATGACCTTGACCAAAATGAATCTTGGAAGTACAGTACATGCGCACCGCCTCTGCTGACTCACATCAGGATCAGTGGTCATTTTAACTTTATAGCGGAGCTCCGGCGGCCCAAAGGAACTCATCTCAAGGGCCGCCAAGCGGAGCCCCATACTCTGAAAATCTACGAAATCACCTGGAGTATCACCTGGTACTAAGTCGCCGGAGGAGGCCACAAGCTTAAATCAGATTCCGGATTCCGCAAAATTGCTGGATTATATTTTATTACTCAACATATTTTCAACGTTGCGTATTTTAACCGCTAGATTATCCCTGATTGTGCAGCAAGATGTCGGTGAGCTTTATTGAACACTCTACCAAATATGGAAACCAAGTCCTGATATCACAGCATAACTGTAATGAACGGATTACCGATAACGAGAACTCTGTAACCCGATATGTGAGCATCGTGGCAATTTGTCGATTAAGAAAAACAGTCATTTTTCTGACTGTCAACAGTATCAATCTATTTGATTGGACTGAGGATTTGAATTTTTAAGTTTCCCCTCATGATCTGACTTCCCCTACGTACATACGTAAACTTTATTTCTATTCGGATTTTTTTAAAATAGCACTGTTGTCTGACACTTGTCACTGACTGTTTTCTTGAAACCCACTGAACATTTTCTCTTTTCTTATGCAAAAAGAAACAAGATAGAAACTGCCACTAAAATCTGCTAACTGGGACAGCCATGCATATTAAGCAGCAGACCTTTCATTATCCAAACTAACAATGAGTATTTTCTGTTTTCTTATCGTGTATAACGATTGTTTTATTCACTTTTCCTGTATGTAATTCAAATCCATAATCGGACACCGTTTTCTGACATTGACACAGCTGAGTGCCACTGAACATTAGCCCACAGAAGCAACAACTGCGAAAACTGCAAGCAAGTGAAAATTATTAAAAGAAAAGTTCTGGTAAAAATGATTACTGCGGGATTCGAAAATCGAAAACAAGAGAAACTTTTGTCTTGTTTTGGCAAAATTCGGTAAACATAAAAAAGGGACTTTTTCCGCTGTCTGAAGCGAAAGGAAAATTAAAGCAAACAACAAGATCATCCTTTCAAGTTATTGAGGACCAATATTGCGCACGGTGCGATGTAAACTAATCGGGTTAAGTCTAAAGGCCATCCAATCAAGTCTCAGAAGTAGATGGATTCATCGCCTAAGGCTCACGCAGATAGATTAAAACCAAACAGCGGAAGTGAAGACGTCAATTAGTTATTTTCTCACCGCACTGACAATTCAACTTCAAGTTTTGCTGTTGTGGTGTCAGGGGATCATCGTAAACCAGGACAGCCGACTTGCCTGCGAAGGGAAAGAAAAGAAAATTTAAAATGATTAATTTTACTTTGTATGGAGAAGAAGAGGACCTCAAATTGTCTTTGTGCTCGTGGAGTGTCAAGGAAAGCGATCAAAGCGAGGGAATCAAAGCGATATTTAGTCCTTATTTTTTTGTTCCAGTGAGCGTATTTTTATCCTTCATTTCACTGACAGGGAACATCCTGATACTCATCGCTCTTCAGAAAGTCTCATCTCTTCATTCATCGTCGAGGCTTCTGTTTCGTTGTCTATCATGCACAGATCTCTTTGTTGGACTTTTCTCGCAACCCATATTTGTAACCTACCTCATGGCGATTGTTAACAAGAACTGGAACTTCTGTGCAATGAGTGAAAATTTGGCCTTCATTTCAAGTGCTTTACTGTGTGGGGAATCCATCAGCACACTGACTGCAGTAAGTGTGGACAGACTTCTCTCTTTGTTGTTAAGGTTAAGATACAGACAGATTGTTACTTTTACTCGCGTTCGTCTGTTCGTAATAATTTCTTGGCTTATAAACTTTGCATTTGCCATGACTTATTTATGGCGCAAGAGGATTTTCTTTCTAGGATCTTGTGTATGGCTTTTGTTATGTTTAAGCATCTCGTCCTGCTGTTACTTGAAAATTTACGTTTGCCTTCGCCGTCAACAAGCTCAAGTGCACGGTTCCCAGGTCTATCCTGGTGCGTCCTTGAACATGGCACGATATAAAAAGACGGTTTCCAGTGCACTGTGGATACATTTGGCCCTTGTAGCGTGTTACCTGCCATATACTATTGCCACTGCTCTAAGCACAGTCCGTGGATTTACTCCACGTAATGTTATTGCTTGGAATATTTCTGGAATACTGGTTTTCCTCAACTCATCTCTAAACCCAATTCTTTACTGTTGGAAGATAAACGAAGTGAGACGAGCAACTAAGGAGACAATTACACAATGGTTTGGGTAATCATAAAGCTTCTTGCGGAGAAGAGGAATAAGAAGAAGAAGAAGAAGAAGAAGGAGGTTTTATTCTCCCTACTTACCCCTCTGTCGACATTATAATAATAATATCATAATAATAATGATATTATTATATCATATTGTAATATATTATTATTATTATTATTATTGTATAGTGTCATTGTATTATTATGATGTATATATTATTACTTCTTTATTGACGTGTCAAGAAACCTTGCAGAGGAAAGTCTCCCCCACTAATAGGGGACACCTACACTGATCTAAAATACTAGCTAAGATACAAATGAGTTAATCTAAAATCGATTACAAAAAGCTAAAATAAAAATTAAATCCTACTAATACTGTATCTCTATCTAAATTCATAAAGAAAATAAAATGAGATCACGAATTACATAAATGACAGCCACTACAGCCTTCAAGGTTGTTGCTTAAATCAAGTCTGCGTATCCGTTTCTTAAATTGCTCAAGGCTTCTTTACCGTTATACTTTACTCTTGGACCTAAATCGATATGTATTACATGCTAAAGACAGTGTCCCATGCCCTTTCCAAATATCTCGTTTAATTACGCAAAGAAAAACCTTAATTAAGTATTAATCTCCAAATCAGAACCAACCCCCCGGACGCAGTATCAGATTATCACTGTCTGCCAATCTGCATGGTAATCAACAACAGCAAGTAGACACGTGAAAGATGTTTGATTTGTTTTCATTTTTAATACATTTCCCGCCTTTGCGGTCGTTGTCGTCATTTCCAAGTGTCGTTCTAAATATTATTAAGATATCTGCTTTTTAGATAGATCTTTTCGAGTATTCTAATACACCACCTAAGACAATGGGCTCCTACTACACTAAAAATTATACTTTTTTGGTTATTTTACACCACCACTGTTCTAACATAAATTCTGTCAGAGCAGTCCTGTAAAATTAATAATCCATAAATAGAATAGAATGATCGTGTTAAATTGAAATTTCCTTGTTGCTACAACTGTTTATTCAGTTATTCATGTTGTCAGGTATTTCGTTCAGTCCATTGTTAATAATTAATTCATTTCTTATTCTACCTGTGTAACTGGACCCAGTCCATACTACGCCGGAGAAATTTGGAGACCCAAAAGTCACTGGTCGTTTTGGATTCTATTTGAGGATAAATATTGGGCAGGGAAATCACATGATTATCGGGACGTCATCGTTTTGGAAAAGCTCCGTTTTCAAAATGCTTTCCGATCACGTACACTAAAACGCGAAGTCGACGTTTTGAAATTCTTACGGTTTGAAGAGCATTTTAGAAAAGCTCTGTTTTCGTGACGGATTAGTGTGGACGGTTGGCCTACCCGTAGACAATAAAGCTGCGTTTTCAAATTTCTGCGGCGTGGTGTGGACGAAGCCTTAGACCGTACGTACTTAAAGCGAAAACATTTATTTTTGATAGGAAAGTAAGTAAATTTGCAAAATAACCAAAAAAATAATTAAATAGACGTGTCAATGCAATTTCCTTGTCCTTAGAGCTGTTTATTCAGGTACATGCACTATCTAAACATTTTCGCCTACTACATTATTAATTTCAAATTCAGTTCTCGCTTTTAATTTTACCTATTGATACAATTGCGTATTTCTACAATTCTTACGCTCGAGAATCGGTTTTATGACGTACGTTGCTGCAATTAATGTGGTGGTGATATAGGGAAAAAGGCTTGTTTTTAAGAAAATTACTCCGAGCCACTCTGGCATACATCATAAACGGTCTACTTCAACAGTTGATAGCTTACGTTTATTACCATAAAATTAAGATAAGGACCAGGAAGATGATTTGTTTGGCTTCCTGTCAATTGTTAGTTGTTTTTGGCGTTGTCGCCTCTGGCGTGTTTCACACTGATCAGTTCTGGCTTCTAA